CAAACTCTGCCAAAAATGAAAGTTGTAGCCTATGATCACAGGACCATGGGAATATTTTTACCTTAGTAATATCTCCTTTTTGGGTGAGATATTTGCAAAGTTCTTGTGGAGTCCCAGTTTGCAAAAATAAAAAAGTGGCTGTAGTTGTAGTGTATGATGTCATGATCATGTCAGTATGATTATCTCATCAATATGTCTATTTTTGGATGAGATATGAGCAAATCAAAGTTTACATCTGTGGTGTCTGTGGGTCTGTAGGGTCTGTAGAGTCTGTAGGGGTCTGTACTTGGTCTGTGGAAAATCTGTACCATCTGTGGGTCTTGATCGCTAGAAACAGAGAAACGTCTCAGTCGTTGGACAACGGACTAACTAATTTACATGAGAGCTGCGAACCTAGAAACAGAGAAACGTCTATCGAAGTCAAGTCAGTCCTGGTGTAACACGTAACGTACTGTAAGCATACCTCAGTCGTTGGACAACGGACTGAGGAAAGAAAGAAAAGATTACTACCGTAGCATCTATGCGTATACGCGTCACGTGCTGTCCTTGGTGTCCGCGCTGTAAAGGTACACTACACGAACCTGAACACTAGTTCTCGAACAAGACTCCAACAGGTCTGTGCCTCTGTACCAAACCCAGGGTTTTGCTGATGCAATGCAAGTTCAACAACACACATTTCAGCACTGAACCATTGACACATGTTGTCAGCTTCCACCCCCAGGCACCATTGTTCTTCATGGCATTGATCATGCTTCAACAATGCACAGATTCCATCATGCACAGCTGCATCTTCCAGCCATCAAGGCATCTCTCCTGCTGAGGGGGAAACTCAGACATCTTGCAGTAGCATAGAGTCGCCATGCAACTCAGTGAGTTTTGTGGGGAGTGATGAAGGTAATGGGATGGCATAAGCAGGGTCATAAAGCTCTTCCAGCTGTTTGCAATACTGGTTGAATCTTCTGATCACTGCCATGAGCACTGGCTGACATTTTGCAATGGACTTCCATGTTTGTTGATGAAGCTTAGTTCCTAGTTGATAAATGGCAATATAAGTTATTTAAGAAGGACATGGCACAATTAAAACAAGGGTCATACCTAAGGTTTTATCCTTTCCACCAGCAGCTGAATCAAGTTTGTCCCATTCAAAGAAGCTACCAACCACTCATTTGTGAATATTGATCTTTAGGTCCCTGGCTATTAGGAGGACCCAAACAAAGTCCAACTGGATGCCATCTGACTCTGGGAACTTGTCTTGAACATTGAGTGAAGCATACAAAGTTTCCAGCTTGTCAGAGAGCTGGGTATGGCCACACTCCATACTGGCCAGGATGTCAAGAATCCTTTCAGATACTTCCTTTGAGTCTTGTTCTATTGTGGTATGTGCAGCCAGAAGGGTACATTCTGAGGCATCAAGGTCTGCCTGTAAAGTGAATACACTATCGAGTTCCTTCCTAAGTCTTGCAGGTGCATCTTGAGATGCATGTGAGGAATGTAATGAATGACAACAGTATACACTTACAAGCCCATATCAAGAGCTGAGCTTCCCATTGTTCAGTCCATTGGCTCTGCAGTTCAGCAACTGGCACATTGCAGAGTGCCAGGACTTCCTTGGCTGCACTCCCTTGTTCTCCAATCCCCTTCCTCATTCAGCATTTGAGCCATGCTCCAAGATCTCATCACATCTTGTAACATACAGCAGCCACTTGTCAATCAATGAGCCAGATACAGCACTGGTGCTGGCAGGCAGAACTCTGAGTGTGAGAAGCAAGAGAAGGGGTTCAATAAAGGAGAAGACTTACAGAAGATGCATGCTCAATACCTATCAGCTTGATGAAATGTGACCATAACCACTCCATCCCCTCACCATCATCAGCAAAACCCTGGGTTTGGTACAGAGGCACAGACCCACAGATGGTACAGATTTTCCACAGACCAAGTACAGACCCCTACAGACCCTACAGACCCTACCAGACTCTACAGACTCCACAGACCCACAGACACCACAGATGTAAACTTTGATTTGCCCATATCTCATCCAAAAATAGACATATTGATGAGATAATCATACTGACATGATCATGACATCATAACTGTACAGCCACTTTTTCATTTTTGCAAACTGGGACTCCATGAGAACTTTGCAAATATCTCACCCAAAAAAGGAGATATCACTAAGGTAAAAATACTCCCATGGTCCTGTGATCATAGGCTACAACTTTCATTAGGGCAGAGTTTGAATCTGAGTTTGAAATTTGTAGAGGTGTGCCACACAACCCACACAGCTGGCTTTGAAAGTTGCTGAGGTAAGCAGAAAAGGATATTTAAACCCAGCTCACTCCAACACCACATCTCTTTCCACTACCACCACCATCCCTCTTCCTCATTGTCATCTTCATTGTCATCTTCATTGTCATCCCTCCCTCACCACCCTCCTTTGCTACCACCACCCTTATGGTGGGTACCCTCTCCCTACTAATAGTAATAAGTGACCACTTAGTATAGATAGATATGTATATCCTTGTACCTTGACATGTAATTTAGGTAGCTTATGATAATACATATGATTCAATTATTGGTCAACTACAACATATGTGAGTGGTGAGAATCTGTAGTACTGAAACAATCTGGGGTAGGTCTGTACAGATATGGATATGTGTACAGACCTGTATAGAGGGGGGGGTTTGCTGATCCATGGTGCAAAAGAACTTGAGGCAGTGATGCACACTTGCATGAGTACACAGGAATAGAACAGAAATCTACATGTTGTCAGTTAGATTGAAAAACTAGTGAGATACACACACAATCAAAATACAGGCATATGACTACACTGCTCTTTGTTCTGCATGCCTGCACACAGTGAGATATGTTATGCAAGTCTCCTAAACTCTTCAGCCACTTTCCCATGGTCCAAGAAACTTGACTGCGTTCTAGCACTTTCAATACTTATTGAATGGAGTTGGAAAATTGTGGATAGGTAGATACATATGGCAGGAACCCTCCCCTGAAATTTTAAGATATGTTATTAATGTAGATAATGTGTGGTACACATCTGAAGCAAAAGGTGAAAAAGTGGACCCACGCATATCTGTCATCTAACCCACCCAAATGCTTTTACAGAGACATTGTACCATGCATCCCCCATGGTTCCAGGCATTCAGAATTCACACCAGGCAACAGGATATAAGTCAGTAGGGGGAGGGGGAGAACTGATCATAACCCAATAAGGGATACATGTGGGGATTTGATATTTGGATAGATTGTAGAGATATGTCAGTGGGGCCTGGGCTGAAATTTTCATGGTGATATATCAAAAACTGCAGAATTGGGAACAGATTTCACATTTTGTCCCTGTGTATTTAGACACCCATTTAATGGCCTAATTTGGATCAGAATTATGTATCTATCTAAGGGGTACAATGCCCCAGATGTATTAAGATACATAATAGCATGCTACAATGCTAAGAGGAAGTGTGGTGAGGCAGCAATAAAGTCCATGAGACCGCTTTTTTGCTTACATAATCACAAAAGCAGAGTGAGAGGAAGTGGCAGTTAAGGTATGGTACAGCCACAATGTGGGGAAGGCCCAGGCTGTGGAGCAGCCCTGGTTACTAATCAAGTGTACATGTTGTTTGGTACAGTTGACTCCCTTATAACACATACCCCCTCGGGATAGGCCAAAAAGTATGTGTTATGAGAGAGTATGTGGTGTGAGAGAGGTCAGTTGTTGATGTCTCAAACTTCACTGATTAGCTACAGACATGTAAATTTAGTAATTTTCTAAGGTAGGAATGCTAGTTAGGCTGAAAAAAAGGGTTATTTTGCCATTGACCATCCCCTGTGTATTGAGAACTCATGTCGTCCACCCAAATGAACCCAGCATCAGTTCCAGCTTGCGGGCAAATGGATCATCAATGTCCTTGACATATTCCCTCAAAAGCAGAGAGGCCTGGAGTGCATCAAGCTCAACATTTCAAAACCTTGCTCATAATCAGATACATTATCCAGTCCCTCTACCACCTGCTCTTCATCAACCAAATTGCCATCACCATCCAGCCACTCCTGGTCAACCTCAGAAATGGGCTGGCCAGCTTTTAACTTGGTGGTAAGCTTGGCCTTCCTGTCTTGAATCTGATCCCAAAGCTTTGTTAAGCCCTTTTTTAGGATGTTGAACAGTTTCATAATGACTGAAGTTGCGAAGTTGATGTGGTGTTGCCATCCCCAGATGGTTGGATTACATATGAAAACTTCCTAATTAAGTATTGAATTCACATGGTGTATGGGTTTTGACAATGCAGAAATGGTATGTGTTATGCATTACAAGAGAAGTATGGGTTTTGGTCAAATTTCCCTGCATACCAACTTGGGATATCCAAATATGTATGCATTATGAGGGAGTATGGGTTATGTGAGGTATATGTGTTGGAGTGAGAATCCACACTCTAGGCTAGTAAGGGATGGCTGGGTGGCCTAGTGGTAAGGCACCCCAGCACTAGTGGGGGAGACCCAGGTTCAATCCCTGGTCTGGCCAGTATTTTCAGTCCAAAAGGTTATGAGCCCCAATGGTGCTGGAAACTGGTCCCTGCTGGGAGTGCACACAAGAGCCTGCCCTAGACTGGGTGTGAGTGGCATGCTGACCAATGGGTGAGTCAGCAGCACTACACCAGTGCTGGGGAGTGAGTGTGGCTTCAGAGGGAAGTGTTGGAGTGAGAATCCACACTCTAGGATAGTAAGGGATCATCAGCAAAACAACCCTCACCCTAGCCAGAACCAGACAGAACTACCCAGCTTTTGACAGCAAGGTACCTAACTGGCTAGACCTGTCCAGAAAAATAGGGGAAATGGATCTCAACAATTGACATCTAAATGCAGGTTGAAATTTTGATGATGCAATCTTTATGATAATATCAGCTTCCAGGTGAATTTTTGTGAGGACAGAAGTGAGTGTGGTTGTGCAGTGCACAAAGACATTTTGTAAGGGCAAGGGTTAGTTTGCTGATGATGGCTGGGTGGCCTAGTGGTAAGGCACCCCAGTGCTAGTAGTGGGGAGACCCAGGTTCAATCCCTGGTCTGGCCAGTATTTTCAGTCCAAAAATATGTTATAAGGGAGTCAACTGTAGTAAAAAATGTGGAAGTTAATTAGGAAATAGCTGGTAGTGGCTGTCACGCAGCCTTAATCACGCACCTGGCAGTCCCTCTCATAGGGCATACTGAGTTTGGGGTCATTTTAATTGGTCGAGGTTTCTTTTATTGTGTTTTACTTACTTTTTTAAATTATCTGAGGCTCCTCTGGCTGAGTGTCAGCAGGTGTACACCTGCATCATCCCTGACCCTGTCAATGCAATATCTCGGCCGCCACTTATCTGCCCCTTTCGCAAATCGGCATTCGGGTTCCACTTGCCAAGAGCCTTCCAACGGTATATTTTTCGTCTCTGTTGCCTCAGCGCCTCTGGAGATATTCCGCATTTTCTGGAGAAAGGCACTGTAGGATGAGTATTTGGAATAACTCGGGATTGGGTGTGCCATCTTTCCCATTTCTTCGTTCTCCCACCTCTCCACGCACTCCTCTACCACATCCAGAAGCATCATAGAATTCTGCTCTGCAGTTCCTCAGCAACATGACACCATCCTCCTACCCCCTACTATGTTTGGAGCGTAAGTCATGCAATTCCGCACCGAAGTGTTCGCTTATTTCAGAATGAGATCTACTGGATGAAACCTACCGGACGATATATGAGGCATCGCGAGCGCATTCGCGGTTCCTGAGTTATTTGAGTTTTCGAGGTTGAACAGGGTGGGGAGGTCAGGATAATGTATCTCGCTCATTTTCGTGCCGCGCCTCTCGGTTTTTTGCAGGATGATACTACTCGTTCACAGCTATATGGTGATACCTTGTCTATGGCGAGATGCTCGGTGGTTCTCAAGATATCTTCCTTTCTGTGTCCAGGCCTACTGCAGTCATTCCTGGCATCATGCCTCCCTCGTTTTCTGGCCCATCCTCTCGCAAATTCGTACCTGCACTATCCTCGCAGAGCCGCTTCTGTTGAATGTTCTTTTGTGGAATTCTGAGAAGCCATTCCTGAGATACAGCCAGGCCTGGATCTGGAGAGCTACAAGACAGTTTCAGCTATAACATGGGTTTGGACAGTCTGATCGGTGAGTTTCCTTTTGAACAGAGCTCCACCATGCATTCGTAATTGCCTCCCGAAGTTTCGTATCTGCCGGCCCCACGGTTGTTGTTCGGCGGCCCACTCTCCTCCCCCTTCCTTGTCACCAGACAATGCCATATGACATATCTCCTGCATTTCGTGGTCGTACCTCTCGCTTTTCTAGGATACAGTACTACTTGATGAGGGCTCTTGAACTTTGTACCTAATGTTGCTGCTGTTGTCCTGATTACAGAGATATTTAAACTTTTGTGCTTGAGAGTGCTGTCAGACAGTGTTGCCCATATCTTGGGAATGGGGGCACTGATTGGTATAATTCATTTTTCTCCATGTTCTTCCTCATGTCCCCTACCATCATCAATGGTTTCATATTGATTGCCCCTGCAGTTGTCTCTTGGTGACCTCCTCTTCCCCCCCATCTTGCTGCCCCATGACTTTGCAACACAGTATCTCCCTCAGTTCAAAGCTGAACCTCTTGTTTTTGAGGGCATGGTGCTACTCAACAAATTCTTTCAGGTGATACATGTTAGGTCATGGCTGTCACATTAAGCATAGAGACATTTTGAGTTTTGGAGGGCAGGGCACCTCTGGGCAGTTTGGTGGATAGCTGGGGCCTAGGTGCATGTATTCACTCAATTCCTTTTTCTACATCTCACCCACATCCCCCCTCACCATCCCCTCAAGTATCATGATATCTCACACAGTCATTGTCTATTGGCATGCCTTGTCCTCCCCCTTCCTCTGATGTGCCTTTGTGGTCATGTGATCAGTTTGCAACTGAGGAAGGTTGGACCCTCAAGTCAACCCCAGATGTAGGGAGAGATGACTCTATAGTAGGATATTTCCTTTATTTCATTGTTTTTACTTTCAGGTTGCTTTCCATCCATTTACCATAGATTCAATTACCTTGCCTGGCAAGGTTTCTTCAGCACCATAAATGCCATGGGAACTGTTGGATGGCTGAAAAACCTTTCTTGGATGCCCATGGGGATTTTGGACTTGAAAATACTGGCCAGACCAGGGATTGAACCTGGGTCTTCCCACTAGCACTGGGGTGCCTTACCACTAGGCCACCCAGCCATCCCTTACTAGCCTAGAGTGTGGATTCACATTCCAACACTTCCCTCTGAAGCCACACTCACCCCCTCCATCCTTGGGTAATGGGTTCATTACAGCTCTCCACAGCTGTCCCACCCACAGACCGCCCCAAGATGAGTGGCTTATTGTGTGCTTCCAGCAGGGACCAGTTTCCAGCACCATCAGGGCTCATAACCTTTTGGACTGAAAATACTGGCCAGACCAGGGATCAAACCTGGGTCTTCCCACTAGTGCTGGGGTGCCTTACCACTAGGCCACCCAGCCATCCCTTACTAGCATAGAGTGTGGATTCACATTCCAACAGGGGATGGAGAGATGACATAGGGCACACCTTTTGAACTGGTGCACACCTAAGGCACTGCCCAATGAGGTGGTGTGGTCAAGGCATGTAGCAGTTGACTCAGAATGAGACATGATGCATTCCTTCCAGGGCTGTGATACATGACCACCATGATGTTGTCTCTGCATCTAACACTACCAGGCAGTTGTCCTCTACCAGAAGCTGTGGTGTGTGATTGCACAGAAATATTGGATCATCAAAATCTAGCAGTCCTTCTTTAAGTCATGTTGTTGTGGTCTGGGGGTATGTACATATGTCTCCTTGAAGTATGGCTGGTACTGTTGAACTGTCATTGCCTTTTAGATGCCTTCTCCTTTGAAGAATGGCCTCTCACAAAGGACAGAAACCACATCAGCAAAGCCACCCCCCTCTATACAGGTCTGTACAGACCACAGACCCACAAATAGGTCCCCCCCTGTACAGACCTACCCCAGATTGTTTCAGTACTACAGATTCTAACCATTCACACATGTTGTAGGTGTCCAATAATTGAATCATATTATCATAAGCTACCTAAATTACATGTCAAGGTACAAGGATATACATATCTATCTATACTAAGTGGTCACTTATTACTATTAGTAGGGAGAGGGTACCCACCATAAGGGTGGTGGTAGCAAAGGAGGGTGGTGAGGGAGGGATGACAATGAAGATGACAATGAAGATGACAATGAAGATGACAATGAGGAAGAGGGATGGTGGTGGTAGTGGAAAGAGATGTGGTGTTGGAGTGAGCTGGGTTTAAATATCCTTTTCTGCTTACCTCAGCAACTTTCAAAGCCAGCTGTGTGGGTTGTGTGGCACACCTCTACAAATTTCAAACTCAGATTCAAACTCTGCCCTAATGAAAGTTGTAGCCTATGATCACAGGACCATAGGAATATTTTTATCTTAGTAATATCTCCTTTTTTGGGTGAGATATTTGCAAAGTTCTTGTGGAGTCCCAGTTTGCAAAAATAAAAAAAGTGGCTGTACAGTTATGATGTCATAACAAAAGTTGTAGTGTATGATGTCATGATCATGTCAGTATGATTATCTCATCAATATGTCTATTTTTGGATGAGATATGGGCAAATCAAAGTTTACATCTGTGGGGTCTGTAGGGTCTGTAGGGGTCTGTACTTGGTCTGTGGAAAATCTGTACCATCTGTGGGTCTGTGCCTCTGTACCAAACCCAGGGTTTTGCTGATGCATGCTGAACTACTGTCCTTGAAGTCCACTCATTGTCTTTTACCTGTCCCTGCATATGACCTTGCCAATGACCTCATCCATCCTTTTGCCTATTGTTGATCCCTCCAGAGTGCCTTGGTGGAGGTTCACTTCACCTTGTCACACTGGGCCATAGCAAATCCACTTGCTTGTGCTGCCCACACAATCCTCCCCTGTGAGGAAAAGAAATATCCCACTTCATCTCAACACCAATGATGGTCCTCCAAAGAAATTGGCTGGTGTCTGATTAGACTGGCAGTATGGTGTGCATGAAAGTCCTTTTGGGTTGCTGGTGCCTTGGTCTTTTCTTCTGTGACCAACTCTTATGAAAAGTGGCATCCCCTCACTTTATCATGTACTGTTGAACCATTGCTACCATTCTCCATCTGTTTGGTAGTGAAAAATGCAAAGATTAATTAGGAAATTGCCAGTAGTGTCTACTACAATGTACTTAGTGTTTGTTGTTTACTCAGCAGGTGCATGCACAGTGGCTTATGTAAGTGACCCACTGTAGGGAGATCAGTCTCCCTGGTAGGATAATTGTTTTATTTCATTGTTTTTGCCTTGTCAGAACTTATATTATTCTTTACTTTAGTGTTTACTTAGTTTTTTTGAGTTGTGTATGCATGCATTGTGGGTTGTGTAAGCCTGCACACATGCCTCGAGTACACTGTACATCCTTAGAATAATAACAGATGAGCTACCACAGATGTAGATAGATGGAATCACAGATGAAGAAGGCTTGGAAAGTCATTTCCCCACCCTAAGATGCTCCTGAGACATTATCTTGACCTTTGTTTGGCTTCAAAGATGCATTTTTCTCTCCTTTCCACACCTTCTCTGTCACTCACTAAGCATATCCAGCCTCCTGGGTCGAACTGACCACCCTTCTTTCCACTAGGAGACATCTAGGTAACCCCCAGGTCCCTATCTTCTGACTTTACATCTGGAGCCCACTGCAAGGGAGCTGTTTTGCTTGGTTCCCCTTTTCTTCCCCCTACCTCCCAACTTGTATGTGCATTTTCTCACAAACTGTCATGCCAAACCTGTCACATTCTTAAGGCATGTGAGTACTTGATGGGACCTTTCCAGTGGTATATTTTTCATGATGTTTGCCTTGGTGCTTCCAGAGATATTGCATGTTTTCTGGTGGAAGGTACTGTATGATGAATTTTGGTATAACTCAGTACTGGGTGAACTGTTTTTCTTATTTCTGAATTCTCCCACCTCCTCTTGCCTCCTTCTACTGCCTCCCAAGATCTT